CTCACTTATAGTCAGGTGATATCATATCATATATGACCCCTAGGTGGCTAGATATTTCACAGACGAGAAGTGTAACACCCCACGTCCCACAAACTGCATATATGGCCAACTCCTCACATAAAACGGGTCTGCAGAGCGTGTAGCACCCCTCTTACATTTTTGTGCTCGCTTCGGGTAAAAGGCTAACCTAGAGGTGCAACGTTTGGAGCGACAAAGATTATAAGTTGACCCTCATGTCCTAAACTTCCAATATGGTACTAAACCCACCAATTAGGCAACTACAACTCCTTATGTGCCACATGAGTTGCTAGTACTTGTATCTATGTCTATATCTATACCTAATAATAAAGAGGTAAACTTTCCACTGCTTTTTTTGTTTGGTCATTCCTTAACTAACTTTGTGAATGTGAAACTTATTTGTGTCTGCCTTTCTATAACTATCCTATTTTATAACCTAGATAGATAGCTAAATTCTAATCAAATAGATTCTTTCGATCCCGAGTAACCCGAATAGAAATCCTAATCTGAATAGAAAAAATATAAAAATTGAAATTAGACATATCTTGATTTGTTTTTTCTTTTCTGTTTTTCTTTTTTTTTATTTTATCCCGCATTCATCTGTCCACTTTAATGTTTTGTACGTTTCCAATTGAGTTTATGTTTCTCCGTTTCTTTTTTCTTTTCTTTTTCTGCGCCTGCCGATCGAGTCTGTCTCGCCTGATTGCTGATCGAGTTCGTGTCCTCTGTACCTTTTTTTTCCTTGCTTTGCATCCGATTGGTGTTATGTACGCTTTTTTTTTTTCTTCTTCAGTTGTTCCATGGGTTCCAGTTGTCTGTTTTTGTTTTGTTTTCTTGGTCTAATTTGGTCTTTTCTTTGTTCCATACCTAAGAGTCCTAATCTGTTCACTAAAAATAGTAGTACATAATAAATTAGAGATTAGAATACTAATTGATTTATTGTCATATTCATGACTCTGAACTTATAACATATATACTCATACAAGTTAGAATATCGTACAATTCAATTAAGGTACGTAGTCTAATTCCAAACGGTATTAGAATAAATGACATAAGATGTAAATTTCAAGTATGTTTGCTAGCCTAATATTAAGGACCTATTTAGTTGGTGCCATATTTTACTGTGTCTAACCTTGGGCAAACTATATTTACCTTGGGCGAGCAAAATAAAAACCAAATTGTGGCAAATTTTGGCACGAAGATGAGCTTATGACATGTGAGACATGCTACTAAGAAAATTGAGCGTGATATAGTTGTGATGGTAAACCAAACAACTACCTAAAAAACTTTAGCATAACTAACATTTGGCGTGGCAAGTTTTGATAAGGAACCAAACAAGCCCTAAAGAACAAAATGATTCTTTTATCTGTCTTTTTCTCTTCTCAAAATGCCTCCGTTTTTTCTTGATTTGTATTTGATAGACTCGTCACTCGTGCTCATATAAGTTAGAAACACATGCGTTGTGCGTTCAATGGCAGTATGAAATCCGATCCAATACATATTGAAGTAGATGATGTGATCCTTATATAAATCTCGGAGCCAAAAATTACTTAGGTAACTGCACAACATGATATATGTTCCGTTATAATGCACGAGCACATTTGCTAGTAATAATAATAGTTCGGATTTGTAACAGCAAACCTGTGTAAACTGTAAGGTAAGTCTAAATGAATATTTACACGAAAAGAACAGCTAAGTTCCAAAGATGCTCGTTGCGTGTCGTGGTGACATACTGCTCTCATTCTCGCTCTCACAAATCACAACACGTTAACAGAGATTGGGAGGTAAATAAAGACAGAGAAGACGAGAGATCGAAAAGGGAGCCGCGCGCTCAACCATGGCGAAGGTGGGCGTCGACGAATCTCTCCTCGCCGTAGTCCAACCCGGGGAGAACTTGGGGGTGTGCGAGGAGGTGAAGAAGCAACTATGGCTAGCGGGGCCGCTGATCGCCGGCGCGCTGCTGCAGAACGTGATCCAGATGGTCTCCGTCATGTACGTGGGCCACCTCGGCGAGCTCCCCCTCGCCGGCGCCTCCATGGCCAACTCTTTCGCCACCGTCACCGGCTTAAGCGTGCTGGTAAAGTACATATCTACGTACTAATAACCTGGGTGACGTATACTTCCATGCCCCAATGAAATGCTTTATTTTAACTTAGGGTCTGTTTAGATGGTTTCCCAACCGCGCCATAACTAGCTAGAAATATTTGGGCAGCTGTTTACATTGTGTCCGTAACTTGCCGAGTTTCTTCCTTCAGTTTGCAGTTGATTTTTCTGCCAAGTTCCGCAAAATCACTGGCGGCTGATTTCCGCGTTTTTAGCGCGCCATAAGTGCGTTGTGGTAAGGTGAGGATACCATCCAAACTGACCTTTAATACGCCCAGAATTGATTTTGAGATCATGCGCATGAAGTTCTTGGTATCTATTTAGTCATCGTTTTTTGGTTCACAAGCCCAGAACTAACTAATGGTGAATAGAGGGAGTACGTATTAATGAATGAACCAACTAATGTAGTGTTCACAAAAAAAAAAAAAAAAAAAAAAAAAAAGAAAAAAAGAAAAGAACTAACTAATGGTGAATGGAGGTAGTACGTATTTAGTTTGACTCTAGACTGGTGACATCGATTGAATGCAATTATTGTTTTAGTGGAGATCATTGTCTGCAGTGGTCCTCCGGTTTGCTGTCTCATATTGCATCCATCTTGTGCCATTGCCGATACTATTATCAGTCCGTTGCTATCTCAATGATTCCACCCTACTGATGAGTACTGACTCTCCGTCTTTTAGTAACATATTGTTAAGTATCTGTTCCCTCTAGTAAATAAAATAAAATAACTACTCGTAAAAACATAAAAATAAGAAATATTAGGCAAACATGTACTGCTTCAATTTTGTTTAGAACTTGTGGGGCCTTTTTTGTATTTTGCTTGCCTCCCTATTAACCATTCAAGAACATCTAAAAAACTGCACCACAAATATTGTTGATACCTTACACCACAAGAACATCTCAAAAACCGCAACACAAATATCTTCAAGAAATTCATCAAAAAGAGGCTAGAAATGAGGGTTTCCGAAGGGAGGAACTTGGGAGATGAGAACTAGGCTTAACTAGGCTTCAAGCAATGACGAGACCAAGTTCCAAGTATCCAAAACCACTCAAGAAATGGCTAGGAAATTAGATCCAACATAGATTAAAAAAATCACCCAAGAAAATGACAAAATTTGACAAAATGAGAAAAACAAGGGATTTAAGAGCATATAAGAGCGGTGAATTCCACACGAATTTTTGAAGGATTAGGAAATCATGAATTCACCTATAATTGGCCTACCTCTCAACGTCCTCCCACTCATGTGAAGAAAAAGACTAAGAGATGGCTATATCTCCTATCTCTTGTTTGCACTTGAACCCTTGGCTAACCAAAGAAAATGAAAGGAGTGGATGGAGTGGCTATCTTGGGTAGCCACTTCATTTGTTTGTAGGTCTATTACACATTCTAAAAATGTCCCTACATTTAGACAAGAATCGCCCGGCCACCAAAGGTAAAATGGTCCAACTGGTCTCCCATGCATCATCAGACTGCAAAATGGTCTAGTTTCATTCTAAATAATCAACCGCAATACCTGCAGCAACGTGCATGCAGGGTATGCTTCTAATTTATTAGTGTGACCTCCATAGAAACATGTTTACCTTCCCAATTATTAAGTCTCTTCTCAAAGCGTGCGTCCACTCTACTCCAATCACTATTTCTTAATTTCTCAATGAGAATATCTAAATACTAATAAATGATTGCAAAATGGCCCAATCTACAGCCAAAATGACTCCTTGTATTGGCCTAATGCATTTTGGGCATCGGCAAAGTACTACTACTACAACATGTTTTATGAAAATTAATTTTAAGACATGACATCTGCTCAAACACACAAAGCAATAGCGTTTCAGATCAAGGGCTTTTTTACATCATGGAAGGAGCGGTGGGTGTTTGGCGACCTATGACCTTCCATATGTTCCAGTAGCGTACCCAACTTAATTAGTGTATTGTGTTCAAGTTGGGGCATGTTTTTTGTTCAACCAAAACTGAAGGAAAACTACAAATCAATTTGGTTTTTACGTACTACTAGATCCAAGTTGATCACCACACAGTTTTGCCTGTCCTGACCAGCTTGGCATGGCGAGCGCTTTGGACACCCTGTGCGGCCAAGCCTACGGAGGCAGACGATACAATCTCCTGGGCATCTACAAGCAGCGCGCCATGCTGCTGCTCACCCTGGTCAGCGTCCCACTGGCCATCATCTGGTTCTACACCGGCGAGATCCTTCTCCTGTTCGGCCAGGACGCGGACATCGCTGCGGAGGCCGGCACCTATGCCCGGTGGATGATCCCGGCGCTCTTCGCCTACGGCCTGCTGCAGTGCCACGTCCGGTTCCTGCAGACGCAGAACATCGTGCAACCAGTGATGGCAAGCGCCGGCGCCGCCGCAGCTTGCCACCTGTTCGTCTGCTGGCTGCTGGTGTACGCGCTAGGGATGGGCAGCAAGGGCGCCGCGCTGAGCAACGCCATCTCCTACTGGGTGAACGTGGCCGTGCTAGCCGTGTACGTGAGGGTTTCCCGCGCATGCAAGGAGACGTGGACCGGCTTCTCCACGGAGGCCTTCCGCGATGCGCTGAGCTTCTTCAGGCTTGCGATCCCATCCACTCTGATGGTCTGGTACGCGATCGATACATGTTCGCATCGATCAGCTTCTACTCTTGTGTTGTAGATATGGCACTGACGGTGCAAATGTGATTGCAGCTTGGAAATGTGGTCGTTTGAGCTTGTTGTGCTCCTGTCAGGCCTGCTTCCAAATCCCAAGCTGGAGACGTCCGTCCTATCCATCAGGTTGAAACTGAAGTTACAATGTCCTCCTATTCCTCAGTTCCTCTTGGTTACTGCTGTATGCCATATCACTTTACTGAACCTGCAGTTCATGGTCGTCTTTTAATTTACAGCCTCAACACTTCTGCCTTCGTGTGGATGATCCCCTTTGGTCTTAGCTCCGCCATTAGGTACGTAGCCTTCTGATGAACCAAAGCATAGGGGCCATGCCAATTGACTGTGCGCATCTTGATGCATGCATTGCTGAACCTGCAGCACTCGCGTCTCCAACGAGCTGGGCGCAGGGCGGCCCCAGGCTGCCCGGCTTGCGGTGCATGTTGTCCTGCTTTTGGCCGTCTCGGAAGGACTGATGGTGGGACTCATCCTGGTCTGCGTGCGCTACATCTGGGGCCACGCCTACAGCGACGTGGAGGAGGTGGTGAGCTATGTGGCCAGGATGATGCTGGTCATCGCAGTCACCATATTCTTCGATGGAATCATGACTGTTCTTTCAGGTAACAGTATAGATTAATTACCAAAACTTTTGCCACTGCATTTCTGCATACAGTACATGGAAAACTGTTCAGTTCCAATTGGACTGTAACAGGGAAAATTAAACACTCTCGAATAATGTTTTGATGCAATTGCAGGCGTGGCTAGAGGCTGTGGATGGCAGAAGATTGGTGCTTGTATTAACCTTGGCGCCTATTACATCGTCGGCATCCCGTCAGCTTACCTCTTAGGTTTCGTCTTGAGTCTCGGCGGCATGGTGCTCTTCTTTTCCCTGGAATGTGGAATCCGCAAAATTTTACTGTGCATCGTCAATAGTGATCGAGTTTAAATTCCTTAAGTTTTTGACTGATCGATTTCAGTTTGTTGCATATTGCTGCCAAGTAGGGTCTTTGGATGGGCATTAACTGCGGGCTCTTAGTACAACTCTTGTTACTCATGATCGTCACCTTGTGTACCAACTGGGATAAAGAGGTATGTGTTCAAAGATCAGTTATAATATTAAATTCTACAGATAACATTTCCATTCGTTTTAGTTCGTGCATACTAAAATTTGTTCGTTTCGAATTTTTGTACTACACTCCATGCTTCTATATTTATTAGAACTGAAGTTACTATCTGGTATACAACTCTAATCTAATGCCTAAACCTGGAAATGTTGTTTTACTTCTTAACAATAGTATGGATAATGGTTCTAGCTCATTCGCCATTATAATCTGTGCTCCTGGAAATTATATAATATATATAAGGTTGTAACTTTGAATTCGCAGGTAGCAAAGACGAAGAACAGAGTGTTCGGTTCTTCCATTCCTTCAGATAGCTTAACTTGAAGAGGTTTGTAAAAAACAAGCTATGAAACTACACCAGTTGTAATGTAGAATTTTGAAGCCGGATGCATGTACCTTCGTTTTTCATGGCAACATACAATGAATCACAAGAACATATCCATGCTCTAGACCCGAAGTGTATCAAACCACTAGTCCCTATAGCAGCCAATCCATCAAAGAAGCATCTTGTATATATCCTTTGTTTGATATTATAAAACCGAATTTGGAGTTGTATTTTAGCACGGGTTTTTTTGACCGAAAACTGTGCAGCAAAGCTCCCCAGCAAAATCTGTTATATACCATCTAAAAAATACGTATGGGTTTCGTCCAACGACAGTTTGGTGTGCGCGCCCGACGTTCCACCCTGACGTAAATACCACACGGTCATCGCCCCTCCATATCGCTCCGCTGTTCCCCGGTAAAATTCCGTGTCCTAGTGATCCCGTCGCCCCCTCCGACCCAGCGAAAGCGACACAAAAGGAAGCCCGTAGACCATGCCTCCCCTTCCCCTTCCTTTACTTTTCCTTCCTGTATGTATCCACGAATCACGCTGGACAAGGAAACTGATCGTTCATCAGCCAACTTCTCTCCGTAGATACGAGGTCCAACGCTTCGTCCGCAAGGACCTGCCGCTGCTCCGCCAGAGACGCGCGGCTCTTCGTCGGAGTGACCTACCGCTGCTCCGCAGAGATCCGCACCTCCCCGAGAAGGGAGAAGGAGCCACGGAAGGAGGATAGGGACATTACCGGGAAGTCATGGAGAAGCGGGAGTTCTTGACCTCTTGAACGCCACTGATGAGGTGTTCTTGCCTGCCTCATGGACCCTATGAAGGGAAAGGTGGACTTCTCGGCTGATAAGCAGGGAGGAGGATGGAGCCTTGGCAGCATGCAACAACCTCAGGTGTTGCATCATTGGGCGCCGGCGGTGGGAACAACTTCGAGCTGAAGCTAGGTTTCCTCTCTGGAGGGAGGACTCGGGAGAGAGCGAGAATTAAAGCAATACGAGATAGGGAAGAGATGGAGGCGCCGAGGAAGCAGGCGAGCTCGCCCAGGAGCAGGTTGCCAAGCAGCAGCAGTTCCGGATTTTGATGCCCATCCGCTACATAACAAGAGCAGCAGCCAGCAGAAGGGGAAAGTGGAACGACCGAAGGAGACATAGACGCCAGGCGAGCAGGATAAAAAATTTCATCACGTACGCCACCAGCAGTAGATTCTTTACAGAAAGACAAGAACAAAAAGATCTAGAAGTAGTGCCCCGTGGGTTGAGGTATTATGATCATGCGTAAAAATAGGGTGACAAACGGCAATGGCCGGAGAGGGTGCAGGCTCACCCTCGCCCCGGCAGCATGTCAAGCGCTACGTCCGTCGGCTCAGTTCATGGAGGTTGGTGGGGAAGACGATGAGGAAGCAGATGATCGTAGTTGCAAGGAGGGTCGCGCGGCATTGTCGCGGGATGTGGCCTTGGCAGCCGATGCGTGCGTCCGACCGAAACCCATCCACGGTGTTTCATCTTCCACTGCCATTCCTTTCAAGTTTTGGATGCAGGACGACGACTCCGATCTGGACGAGGAGGATGGCCATGGGGAGCCGCCGTTGGCCGACGTCACCGGTAAACGCGTCGTACCACCTACAACCGACGATGAACCGTCTACACCTGAGTTCATCAAAGAGGCTATGGAGGCGGGGTTCACGCTCGAGCTTTTGTCCAGAGCCGAGAATGCCTTCAATTCAGGTAGTACTCCTTCATCTTCTGATCTCAAGTTAGCAAATTCGATTGTTTCAAAGATGGTGGAGAGAAAAACCGATGGTAGGCCATGGCAAGGGCCACTGCCTCCTCCTCGTGTCTCACCGCCAAGGACCTTTGGCGACGCTCTTGCTGCGGCAACTTACCAGAGGAGATCCAGCTCTCACCGGAGGCCGACGAGGACGTCTCGGCCGGTTGGTTCACCGGCGAGGTCCGGCCCGGCGGGGAAGACAACGAATTCAAATTATTTTGAATCACCGGAATTTCAGGATCTTGATCCACTCTTTCCTCCGCTTCCACGTACGATGCTACCGGCTTCGGCTGCGTGCGTCACGACGGGTGCGACAGAGAAGTCGGCTCAAGGGTTTCCTGGACTGGCAGAGCATGTGGTACTGGGCCCAGAAAGATTTTTCGGCCCACCATCGGTTTACGTGCGTTTTTCAAGCGCACAGGAACCCGAGTCATTCACAAACACAGAGTCCCACCTAAGATGCCGCCATCTCCTTCTACGACGCCGACTCGACCCTCGTTCGCGGAGGTTGTACGTGAAGGAAAATCAATGGCGGTGCCAGGAGCGGGTTCTGGTGGCGATCTCGGTGGGCGTGGAGGTGGCAGGGGTGCGGCCTTCAATCCCGGTTTTCAACCGGGTTTCGACCCAGGGTTTGCCGGGCGAGGTCGCGGCCGCGATCAGTTTCACCCTCATGGACGAGGACGAGGCTATGGAGGGCAAGCCGGCTATGGCTACAACAGCTCCGGGCCCGGCTACTTCGGCGCTGGACGTGGTGGTCGACCTCAAGGCGGAGGGTACGGAGGCGGACGTGGCCTTGGGGGCTGGAACCCTAGACCACGGTACCAGCCAGCACTGATGCAGGGGCCTATCAATGCAGGTGGCCAGAACACCATCGCACAGACAGGACCCCCCCCCCCAGCTTCGACAATCTAGGAAGGGGGGCCGGCGCATGCTGCTCCAAACCCGGCATCATCATCGGGGCCAGTGCACCAGGCTGCTTCGACGACGACCACGACTAAGACAACGCTGCCAATTCCTAAAAGTCTCAACACCGACACTGCCCGCCAGGATCAAACACTGCAGGAGTCTTGATTGATGTGCCAGAGTCATCCCAAAAGGGAGGGAATCACAAAAGCAAGGGTAAACCATATTGCTATCGTTGTCACACTAAAGGGCATACGATGTCGGTTTGTACTGCTGTGCTTAGTTGCGAGATTTGTTTTGGTGATCATGTTAAAAAAGTATGTCCAAATTTGAATAATTTACAAGCTACTGCTTCACCATGTGGATATGCTGTAGAAGGTCTGGGCTTCTATTTTATACCTGTCATTGAAAATCCAAAATTACCTTCAAATGACAAGTACACCGTGGTACGTGTTTTGGAGGGTTCTCTTACTGATGACCAGTTAGCAGTGGAACTTGACAAACTACTGCCTGGACATAGTTGGGTGATTGAAGAGAAAGGCAATGATGCCTTTATCACTAATTTCCCTTCTGCTGAAGTGCTTAATCGCATGGTGAATTGGGGCCCAATGGACACAAAGACAGTGAAAGAAAAGATTCGGTTCGAGAAAGGGCCTGAAAATTATGTCTTTAAGTATGAGATTGACAAGGTATGGGTGCAATTCCGGGGTCTTCCAAAAGAGCTACGAGAATTTCCCATCATTTGGGCAATTGGCTCAATTTTGGGTGTTCCTCGTGCAGTGGACACTAAATTCACTAAGAAGAATGGAAGAGCCAGACTGAAAGTGGCGGTGCTTAATCCTGACCTCATCCCTGACCTTATGGATGTTGTCATTGGGGATTTTGTTTATGAGCTACAATTCAGAGTTGAAAAAGATATGCCTGATGGTGAGTCCCAGGTCATGGACATGGACTCTACCATGGATGAGGACAAAGCCCCAGAAGAAAAGGAACCGGAGAATATGGATCATGATGCTAACAAAACAACAGATGATCCAGCTGGTAAAGCACTTGGTAAACAGACCAATGCTTTAGTTGCACCAAGTGGGCAGCACAAGTCCAAGGCTATGATAGGAGCATCCACTAAGAGCATGGTCATGGCAGCTAAGCTTGCAGGAGCCGCTGGCGTCCAGCAGGATTTGGTGGCTACTGTAGGTGCAGTACTCCAGCATTGAAACTTGGAAGTTACAGAATCCGCTTCAGTGGGAGAGAAGAGTACATACAAGCCTGTAGTACTGCTCTCTCCGTGTGGGATGATTCCAGATGGTTCGGCACAGTGGAAAGCTAGTTTGTTGCAGTCTAAAACTTTGAACGGTGGGGCAGTGTCACCAGTGAGAGCTAGTAAGAGAAACGTGTCTACTTCGGACCAAGACTGTTTGGAGAAGGCGATGAAGTTAAAAGCACGCAAAAACTTGAATGCATCTTCAGTCAAAGGTAATGAGACTTTGCCACACTCTTGATATTCTCGATGATTCTATGTTGCTGCATACAACTAGCTCGTTAGGAATCTCTTTTGGCTCTAATGAACAAGAAGTGTCTCTTTCTTTAAAAAGTTTAAGAGATATTGAATTTGCTAGAATGTCAGCAAACAATAGTTTAGAGGAAAAAAGTAAAGCTATGTTGGATGATAGTTCCACTGTTTGTTCCTTAGAAGAAAACATGGACCTAGAGGCTTTAAATTTAATTTGTGTAGAAATTTCTGAAGACCTAGGTGATGGGGCTGTGACCCTTTCTATCTACAGACCCCTATATCACATTCCAAAAAATCTAGTTCCAAGCTTAATAAGA